TCCACATTATTACAAATAACTTCATTTCTGGACATTTATGGTTTGATTTCTTTGTATGTATGGATCACTTGGGTTGTTACCGACAACTGTTTAAAATTTCATGTCATTAGCACCTCTAGTAATATATTTACTGAGAAAAATGGTGACGTGTTCAATACTTATTTTACCCGCTGTATGTATGTATATCATTCGTCGTAAACTTGACCTTGAATAGATCTCACATGGAACATGCCCGAGGCAGGTTCGCTCTGTTTACACAGTCAGGTTTTTTTTGTTTCCGTTTTAAACAGCACATTATGTAAACGCGCCAACAATCTTTTCTCGACATCAAAGGTTTCCACCGAGCATGTTGACTCAAGCTCACTCGTGAAATTTGCTCCRAACTAAAGAGCGATTATCTTCCATTTCAACAATAACTGGTTCCACYGCGTTCTGTAAGAGTCATCTGTGACAGATGGTGATCTGATGACAGATTTACAGTGGAATCAGGAATGAAGGAATGTTTATTTAACACACAAAACAAGCTCAACCGCTCACAAGAAATCTGAGATTTTATATTCTAGGTGTCATCTTGCAATGCGTAGGTTTTCTTTTCTTCCTCGACCGGTTTTTAGAAACGTCACTGGAACAGGTTGTGCTGACAGTTGATATTTATTCAGACAGAATAGATAATAAGGAAATAATATTCTGTTTATAGGTGTCTTAACATGTTTAAATAAGCTTTATTCTGTAATAATTATACACAATAAAAGAAAAGCACATACACCTAAAAATAAAAGCACACAATCATTGATGAACGTCTCTTTATTCTGTTTTTTAGGTCAACTTCAACGAGCCACTTTCCATGCTGCAGCGTTTGTCTGAGGACCTCGAATATCACGAGCTGCTGGACAAGGCTGCCAAGTGCCACAGCTCTCTGGAGCAGATGTGTTACGTGACGGCCTTCTGTGTGTCCGCCTACTCGACCACCGTGTACCGCACGGGAAAGCCCTTCAACCCTCTTCTAGGAGAGACATACGAGCTGGACCGCCGGAGGGAAAGTGGCTATCGCTCCCTCTGTGAGCAGGTAAGGAAAAAAAACTGCTTGACTAGAATGTGAACCCAGTCTTATCTGCAGCGGTGGGTACACTTAACCAAAATGTTAGGTTGACTGCGGAAGCTAACGCTAACCGCGAAGGTGGGTGGAATCCTGTGTGGTAATTCAACCAATCCAAACCAGAGTTATAGCTCTGTCTAATTTGTGATGCTTCCAGTTCATCCCTTTCACAATAAAAGCATTTCTTTGATCGAGTTTGTATTTTTTTTWAATATAGTTTAAAGTTTGAACAACAAATAGTAAATACTTTCTTTACCATACCATACGTAGTAAGGTTGGGCAATATTGGCAAAAAAATTAATCAGGATTAATTGTGGTAATTATCCGATAACGATTAATTTGGCGATTAATCCCCTGGAGTCCCTTATGTCCTGGTCACATGACTTATTTAGTGGGAAAGATTWGCTCTTCATAAAAATCTGTTCCAAATTGTGTCAAAATTACAGACTTCAGGCTGTACATCAAATTTTAAATTGTGTTGATAAATAAATTACAGAAACTTTTTTTTAATGTTCATATTTGAAGCAGAGAGGAGCACCGAACAGACTCTGCCTGGTGGCATTAATCATATTAATCATCAAATGGCAAAAAATAATCGATTAATGTTTTTCTGATGATTAATTGCACATGATACAACTATGCCCAACTCTAATACATAGTCAATTGTAGTATTTGTTATTTAAATATTGTTAAACACCTTTTTTTAACCCTCTTAGTTTGAAGTTTAGCTGCTAAATATGCTACATTCTACGCACACGGTGCCTAACACGTCCAGCACAGCTTGTAAAAGAGGATAATTTTTAAAAAATGTKGATAAACTGCATTAAAATAGTTGTTTAACATGTGAAATTTTGCAGTAGTTTTTAACACCGCTAATGGTTTTCAGGGTTTGCAAAACAGCTAAAGGGCTTGTTCCAAGGAACTAGCTAATATTTAGCTAGTTCCGCTATTACAGATTAGCAGAAAYGTGTCTACCTCTGTTTATGTCGCTAAGCATATGAAGAGTAATTTGTTTAATTTTTTTCCTCTCCTTGTTGGGGGTGAAATCTAACAGGAAGTAGAATTCCTGAAAGCCAGTTCTGCATGTAGAGTCCTCAAAGAGCTTTTATTATRTGAATAAAAAAATGTTTCAGCTATTTTGTCTTAAAAGGCCCCACAAAACTACAAAGGACAAGACTTTTTTAAAGGAATTTTGAAGACCTTTAAATAATTTTTCTGTAGGAGAAGGCAGTTTTAAGGATTAAAGCTTTGTGTAACAGTAGAGTAATGAGAAAGCGATCTTTAATCCTGTTAACGATGAACGCCCAAATTCTAAATTTACTTCACTATAGGCTGTTTTGTTCCATGCTACTTTAAAACAATGGTTTTCTTCCCATCAAAGGATAAAATGTACGTCCAAATTGAGTGGGGACAGGTCACACGATCAAATGGCGGCAGCACGGGTGCAGTGAAGCCTCCATCATCCTTCCATTGTTGAAATGGTTTTTCTTCCTTCACAGGTGAGTCACCACCCGCCCGCGGCAGCTCATCACGTGATATCTGATCGTGGCTGGACTCTGAGGCAGGAGATCACTGTTGCCAGCAAGTTCAGAGGAAAATACCTCTCCATTATGCCTTTAGGTGAGATTTGCAAAGAAACACGTGAAGCAGGTTTGAGGGTGTGATGCTAATGCTGCCTTCTTAAAGACTTTGAAGCACAAAGAAACACACGAGCAAATGTTCAGAACGTTTGAAAGGACAAAAGCACGAGGAGTGTTTCGGTCACGCCTGCACTTTGTTGAAGCCATTATCAGTTTCTTGTTGTCTAAATATATTAAAGGTGTTATGTGTCTCTGCTAACTGTTTCCCTGAAGGCACGATTCATGCAGTCTTTGGAAAGAGCAACAATCACTACACGTGGAAGAAGGTCACCACCACAGTGCACAACATCATCGTGGGGAAACTATGGATCGACCAGGTGGGACTCCAAACCATATATAGACCCAAGAAGATCTGATTAGAAACCARGAGATACTGAAGCTGTTAAAGTAAAACATAGATTTACGGGGTTCCCACGGRTCCTTGAAATCCTTCAAATTTTGTGAATTTAAAAAAATGATTTCAAGGCCCTGGAAAGTTTGTGAAAACAGCCAAAAATTACACTTGTCCTTGAAAGTCCTTGAATTTTTGATGGGGGATTGAAGTTCTCTATTCACACTACTGATTTTCATCATCTTTAAAGAAAATAAAATATTCATAATAAAATAAAAAAATAAATATTAAAATTTGTTGCTGTGGAAAACTCAGGATTATGGTAAACTGATGTGGCTTTAAACAAATAACATGAGCCATAGTCTTAGTTTTACCCAATCAGAGCAGAGGAGGGCGGGTCGTTCTTTCTGAGCCCCGATGAAAGAAGCWCCACAGCTCCTCCTGTCCTCACTGAGGGTCTGGACATGTCCACATCCCCTCCTCCCCAACTGAGCTGCTGAACCTCCCAGGACATAATTACATGTCCATTAGGAGTGCAACAATACATGTACCCATATCCGAACTGTTCAATACAGCGCTTTAGGTTCAATACACACTTGTATCGAACAGTACAGATTTTTAAAATTTATTTTATGATCTTGTCTTCTGAAGATGCTCTGTGTTGAAGGATCAGAGGATCTGTGTTCGACTACTCCATCTAGGCTGCATTTTCGAACACAGATCCACTGAGAAACTTGCTGTTTTAGCAAAATTTAAGTTTAAATTTAATTTAAAAACAGTACTTTTGAGGCTAAACAAATGTTCATAAATAATTTCAATAAATTACAAGTTAAAAAGAGCATGGAAATTTCAGTTATTTGTATCAAAAAAAATATCGAACTGTTAGACTAAAGTATCGAACYGAATTATGAATTTTCTKCATTGTTGCACCCCTAATGTCCATGTATTGTAGATATGAATGTAGGGAAAACATTTAATCCTCTTTCTTTCATTGATTCTGACTCAACAACTTCTATGTTCAGTTTTTGATTAAAAAACCTGTTTATTGGTACATTCTGCTGTAGCAGTAGGTAATTGCTGTCGTGTAGTTCGTGAATTTGAGGAAATGGTACTGGAAAGTCCTTGAAAGTTCCTTGAATTTCATGTTGACCAAGGTGTGGGAACCCTGGATTTAATAATACAGGCTTTTATGCCAAGTCAGTATCCAGAACCAGTTCTGACATGACTCAGCAGCCTCAGCATGCTCAATAGCAAATAATCTTCCTAATCTACCTTTTGCAAGTTTCTAACAGAGATGTCTTCAGTGATAATCCTTTTAATTCCACTTGAGATTAAAAGATTTAAATTGGAACTCTTGAAAATAAAACAAGCTTGTTGCCAGGTTGGGTGATAAATCTCCAAATTTCAACAAACTACGTATCATTTTGAAGCTTTTTCTTTGTGTACAAAACCTGTGTGGTCAGAAATTGTTTAAATAATTAATAGTATCGCATMAAAATAATAGTCTCCAATTAAAATGACTGAGGAGCGTTTTTGCTYGTTTCCTTTCAGTCCGGAGAGATCGACGTCGTGAACCACACCACAGGAGACCGCTGCCACCTGAAGTTTGCTCCGTACAGCTACTTCTCCCGAGATGTAGCCAGAAAGGTTAGAAAGGCAGATCATTTTTACCCTCCAATCCCCCGTTTTGAGGAAAAAAAAGTAAGTATTTCTGTCTCTTYGTGTCTCTAGGTGACAGGTGTGGTGATGGACAAGGACGGAAAGGCCCACTACGTGCTGTCGGGCACATGGGACGAGAAGATGGAGTTTTCCCGGGTGATGCAGAGCAGTCGAGGGGGAGAGTACGGCGCCGAGGGCAAACAGAAGACGGTTTATCAAACACTTAAAGCCAGAGAGTTGTGGAAGAGGAACCCTTTACCGTAAGTGTTCTTACTGCTCAAAGRTGGCTCCACGTACAGCTGAAAAATCGTTCATTTTGTCCATAGCTRCATTATTTTTTACATTGTTCTAAAGGTGTTGGGTATGATGGGAGTCTGCCTACGTCAAGACAGTAAATCTAGGCTTGTTTCTCCGAAGTCACAAGTTTGCTCAATGAATGCCTCATGTCTAAGCAAAGAAAAACCTGATTTTTTTATTTTTATTTAATGCACCGTTTGTCAGTGTTGGTAGCACTAATTTTTGCCAACAATAACACATTTTCGATGTGACTTATTTGAGTGACTGTCCAATAATCTGGAAGAGATTTATTGTAGATTTCCAGTAGCAGAGAGAACCAGGTGCTGCTTTGAAGAAATAATGGAAAAGTTTTTTTGTCCATCATAAAATCCTATACAGGGTGTATCAGAAAAAATGATACTGTCAGAAAAATTGYCATAAAATTAACACAGATAATAATTTTGAAAATGTGGGTGTGACCTTTGGTAGAGGGGATCATTCTGCTTCGAATGACACCAAAATGTTAGCTAACGTTTCACGCTCCAGTGAGCAGGGACAGTTGGAAATTCACAAAATTCATGTCCTTTGCACAGGGAAATGTGAGGATTAAAATACGATCTGTCACATAAAATTAAAAGTTTAGATGGTGTTTTACATGCATGCAAAGGCGTTTTTAAAACAATTAACCCTTTCATGTCCTAACGTCAAAACAAAAATATCTAATTTTTGAGTGGATCATAACCAAGGGTTAAAAAACACATGTGAAGTGGCCATGGACAAGTCAATCCAGCCAACTAACACTACATGTAATGTACTGTACATGTACATTACATGTACATGTATTCAGTGGGTATAACATGTAATTATTCCATAACCTGATACAAGATCATGTGATCATGTAGTCATTTTCTTTCATTAAAACAACATGATCATAAACATCACCTTATGTTATGCAGACAATTGCATAATTCCTGGACATGAAACCTGTCAGCAGCTGTGCAGTTGTCTCTCTTCCTGCCTTAGCCTGTGGTGTAAAATGATCCGACCACWGTTCACCGCTCAGCAGAGGTCTTTCCTGGTTRCTGAATACCTCCAAACGAAAAGTGTTCGCACTGTCCTTGAGCGGTTCCAACATGAGTTTCYAAAKGTTAGGGTTCTCGTGCTTCTCCAGCATGTTGCTCTTCAAAGAGGGTTCTGAMTGCTTCAATGTTGGCTGGTATGTGTTGGGTCCTTTGTTGGTCGGACCTCCCCTTGTTGAGATTGTGGCTGGTCCCAGAAGCACGGTACTTGTTAATGTTRCAAAGACAGTGACACGACTCAGAACAGTTGTTGTTTGTTTCGACGTTAGGACATGAAAGGGTTAATTATTTTAAAAAYGCCTTTGCATGCATGTAAAACACCATCTAAACTTTKAATTTTATGTGACAGATCRTATTTTAACCCTCACATTTCCTTGYGCAAAGGACATGAATTTTGTRAATKTCCAACTGTCSCTGCTCACTGGAGCGTGAAACGTTAGCTAAGATTTTGGTSTCATTCGAAGCAGAAYGATCCCCTCTACCAAAGGTCACACCCACATTTTCAAAGYTATTATRTGTGTTAATTTTAAGGCWATTTTTCTGAGAGTATCATTTTATTTGATAGACCTTGTATTATGAGCACAAACACAAAATCCATTGAATCAGACAATAAAAATAAGAAATATGTTTTGTTTCTTTTTCYTTGGTTCAACAACCGATCAGTAAATCAGAAAACTCGCGTTCATCTCCACTTCTATACTTGCATCGACTCACCGTGTCGTTTCACCTCCTCTCTGCCCTTAAAGCGACGGCGCAGAGAACATGTACTTCTTCACGTCTCTGGCTCTGACCCTGAACGAGCCCGAGGACGGCGTGGCGCCCACCGACTGCCGGCGCAGGCCCGACCAGCGTCTGATGGAGGAGGGCCGCTGGGACGAAGCCAACAGCGAAAAGCAGCGGCTGGAGGAGAAGCAGCGCATCGCCCGGCGTGAGAGGGAGCGGGAGGCCGCGAGCCAACGTGCCTCCAGCCAATCAGAAGAGGGTAAGAGTCGAGCGCGTTTGTCCAGTTTTCCTCTCTACCTTTCTTGGGGAATAATTTAAGGGGAGCAAAAAAAAAAAAATCAGTTATTCCCACCTTTTCTCTTCTAAAAGCTGTCGATGAGGACTCTTTTGCTGATCACTCCCTCAAAAGCAAGTATTCCTCTTTTAATCTTCTCAACTCCCACTTCCTCGTCCCGAGTTCACATAAAGTCCGTTAGTTTTCTTTACGCGTTTTCACAAGTCCTCTCTCTTTCAGGTGTGCCCCACGACAACTACAGAGCCCGTTGGTTCGAGCTCTGCGAGGACCAGATCACAGGTGAGCAAGTTCATATCTATAAGGGAGGCTACTGGGAAGCCAAGGAGCTCRGCAGCTGGGAGGGAATCCAGGATATATATTGACCTCGGCGTCGACTGTAAAAGAAAAAAAGACTGACCATCGCAGTCGCCTGGATGGCTCCGCCCCCTCCTACTTTCTTGGACGGCTGCTTCCCTGCAGCGGCTCTCTGTTCTAAGAGATCTCCCCGGACGGTCCCTGCTGTCTGATCGAGAGGAAAAAAAAAAAGAGAGAGAGCAGCACTTAGCCTCCCTGCGTCTCACTTTGGTTGGTGTTGTTTCCTTGAGTCTTTATTGCTGTCGTTCATCTGAGCGGACTGGAATTTAAATGACAAAATTATGTTTTGGGGGGGGTGTTCTGGTTTGGGTCAGCATATAGAAGAAGGAATGAAATAAGAGGCGCTTCCATATTTTGTGTGTCAGATCAGGAGCAGAACAAGTTTGGAAGCAGATCCCAGCCTGTGTGAAACAACCACAGCTCCGCCCTGCTTTCGGTGATAACTCTAAAACAATTATGGAAAAACCTGGGTAATATATTCTTTATTATGTAAATCTGATTGCAGATTCGTTCAAATGTCAACTAGTGGCCTTCGAAACGTTAAGAAATCTTTTGTTTCTCTCTGATTTTAGTGTCTTAATGTGATGTTGTGAAGGTTTGCTTGTGTGTTTGTGTGTATGACAATGTTTCAGCTCTTCCACTATTTAAAAAACAAAACAAAACACAGCAGCTGTGAATTACAGTGCGCTGAAGTTGAGACTTGTCTTGAATACTTGTTGACCATCAACACTGTCATATTTTATCTTTTTTTTTCTTCGATGTAGACCTAAGGGAAAATGTGGTTTTGAATAAAAAAAAAAGGGTCGGGTACAAGATCTAAATGTGTATCGTTGCCTTAAAAAAGGAGCAACTTGCTCTAGCTTGTATTTACAGCACAGCTACACGAACAAAAGATCTACATTTATAGTGAGTTTCCTTTGCACATCTGTTCTCTTAAAGGGATGCCTCAGATTATTTTAAGTGYGGTTTTATGGAAGTGTTATAAATATCTAATATCTTACCTGTCTTAGATAGCTACTTGATCAAACTCAGTTTGGAGAAAAAGTTTAATTTAGTCGGGATTGATGAGCTAACGGCTAGCTCAAGCTAATTAAAGATCAAAGTGGATCTCTGCCATCCTAAAACAACTCAAGGGTGATGTTTTATGTAGTTTTTCATGTTATTTTATACATTTTTGCAACATCAACAGTTTCACATGACATGATTAGATCGCCTTAACGTAAAAGATAAAATTAAATAAATGTGTAATGTGAATTTGACGTCAATGTAAGATTAATAAATAGTGTTGATGACACTGTAAAAATTGTCTGAATTAGATTTTTTTAAAAACAGCAGCTATCCACTTTGGTCTTAGTCGAATCAAACTATTTCTCCAAACTGAGGTTGCTCAAAAAGCTATCTGCAACAGGTAAGATAGTAACTGCTCATAACCGCTCCACAGAACCCCAACAGTGAAGTACACTTTAGGATCTCACACTTGTAGTTTTTTTCCACAGCTGTACACTTCTTCACAGTACTGGAATAATATTTTGGCAGTGAAATAAAGTTTATTCAAAGCTGAGGTGAGTTGGTACGTTAAAAAATAAAAAGAACAGAAACTAAATACTGTGCTGAATATAAATGTGGCTGAGGAGTTCGCACATATGCAAGTATAATTTAACACCAAAAACATGGGATGTTTGTGTGTGTGTATGAGTGTGTGTGTGCAATTCACAAATTTCTTTGTAAGTGTACTTAAACATGAAGAAAAAGCAAAGAATTAAAAACAACTTTGCAAATAACAATTAGTTTCTAAGTGTGTAGGAACTCACGTTAGTATTGACAACTGTACTGAAGGTTGGTTTATTTTTTCTCTTTTTTTCCTTTTCTGAAATCTTTGGTTCTTGTGATATTTGGAGAAGATTGTCTTCATTTTCAGGAAAAAGGGAGTTTGTGTACTTGACTCAGCARAGACATGATGTTCAGTATTTTGTATTAGCACAGATTATCAAAAACAATCTGTAATAAATACTGAGATGTCAAAAACTTTATAATGTTTTTTTTTTTATTCAAAGACGGTTTTGAAATTCTCAAACCTTTTTTTTTATTTTGGAGTATTTGCAAATCTGGAGATTAATTTTGTTAATCTTATAATTTACTGATATTTATTGAACTCTATTTCAAAAATGATCAGATTGTGTTGTTTTATTGGCTTTTTGGGGGGTTTATGTTCTCAAGAAATAACAGACTTGTCTAAATTTGTTAAAGGGGTACACTTTGGTAATAATCTAGCTCTGCTACTGACAGATTTGAATGGCTCAAATTCCTTYTGAAAACTAACCCTAAAACAAAGAGAAAAAAACATTGTGTAAAATCAAATACATTATTGTTCAAAAATTTTTCAAAATGTGTAATTTTAATAAAATACCTACACTAAAATATGTATAAAACACTTTAAAGTAGTTCCATTCTGTATAACATACTTTTAGTTGTACCTTATAGTTTACTACTACCGGTATGTAATAACGCAGTTAATAATTAGGCTGTAAACACAAAAACACATCAGTGTTTGACAAACACCAAAATAATGACTCATTTGTTTCCAAATAGTGAGCCTGCATTTATTTTTATTTACACTTTAAATTCTTAATTGTTTAAAATATTAAATACTTGATTCTGAATTATTTAATTTCTAACATGCATAAGAGTATCAAATACATTTTGCACCTTAATTTAAAATATCAAACTTGACAGTAAGTCATCTGCACGCATTCATATATTTAGTTTTTTCATATAAAGTTAGTTTAAAAAATATATTTAATTTATGCACATTATAATTGTTATATTTATAAAGGCCTATTATTGCTTTATAAACTCATCAATAACCCTCTTGTAAAACACTGGTGTGCAGTTTTATCTAACCTTTATTGTAATATTTTGTCCTTTTTGGATTTAAATTAAGTGTCTACTTTAAATCTTCGCCAGTTTTCCTGTTGTTCTTTGTCAGATGAGTTTCTTCCATTGCTCCCATCCCAGGTGCCTCTCCTGCYGTGTCACCCCAGCAGATTTGTTTTGAGCCACTTTTTTATTTTTTATTTTTTCAAAGTAGCCTGGAACCTACCACCTTTTTGCTGCGTGTACGTTTCCATAGAGGAAAAGGGAAAAGGTTGAGTCGGGGAAAGCCGGGGAAGGGGCTCAGGGTTCAGCTCAACCTCGCCGGTCGCATTGTGGCCGAAGCAACCGTGATGCTCTGCATCACTGTGGACACGCCCTGCCTTCCACACAGTGTGGTGGGGTTCAGCTGGGTGAAGAGACGCTGAGTGTTCACAACGCGCAACTGCAGCCTGGTAACAGGAGCAAGGATGGAAATGCTGAATCAGTGAAAATGCATGAAAGGCCGGGAGAGCGGAGAGGAGAGTAACAGCAAGGGTAAGTTGGGAAAGATCTACTTTTATCTCGGTGCTGATTTAGTTTACTTCAAAACCAGAACTTCTACTTTACTGTTTCTGACAAACCAGTGATGCAAGGTAAGACTGGACAAATATCTGTGTCTGTTTAGTGCTGCAGTTGTGCCTGCAGTGACTTCAGCATACTAAATGAGTTAGGTGAAGCAAACAATGGAGATTCTGTGAACAGCTTTCTTTGGCAGCGTTGCGTAGTGAATGTAATAAAACCTGAAAGCTTGAGACTTTGTGTAAAACGTAAATGAAATCAGACTTCGATGATGTACAGATTTCACAAACTCATGTTTTATCCACAGAGAACGACAACTTAGGCTTTGTTATGTTGACCCTAGTACATCAGTAGGATAAACTAAAAATTGTTGCAAGTTTTGGAAAAAATGAGGTATATTTCAACTTTATGGCTGCAGCACAACTCARAGTTGGAACAGTCTTTACTACTGTGAAGCACCCCCTCCCCACGTTTTCTTTAAAGGAACCATCTGTAAACATGTAGGAACTGGAGTTTTCTTGTGTGACCATTCTAGCTGGGTCATCTTTTCCAATTTTTTGTTTTTATTTTTTATKTTACTGGATGGGAGCATAATGTTATTGTTTTTGTTATTCCAGATGTGTAAGCTGTCCGTGTCAGAAGCGATAATGCACCCCCATACAATCAGCGAAGCAGGCCTTTGTACTGTATAAATAGGCCAGGCAGTCCCTCTCYATATTAGTATGATGGACACATCAGTGGAGGTTTCCAAAGAAATAGAAAATTTCAGTTTGTTGCAGAATTTTTAGACGGTTTTTCTTGGACTAATGACCTGTTGCTAATTAACCGAATTAGTTGTGAATTGCTCTTTGAGCTCTCCTATTCATGTTTACTTTTACAGCCTTGCGGTGGTCCTGCACCACTGTTCTGAGAAATGTTCCCGCTGTAAAAGATTTCTTATGTTTCAGAGAAACATTACGTTTACTATATATTCCATTGTGAATAAATTAGGGGTTTACGAGATTTGCAAATAATTCAAACCCAACCCAAACCACAGGTTTTATTTACATTTTACACTGTGTCACAGCTGTGAGCCAAGGTTATAATAGTTTTGGATTTTTCATTATAGTTTAGTTTTATTTCACTGTGACTTTTTTCTTTAAATTCAGTTAGTTTTAATTAGTTTTTACAGTGGATTTGCTAGTTTTTATTGGTTATTATCGCATTTTTAATGC